TTACGAAATATTCTAAAATAAAACTGGTATGGTCTTTGACATTTGTTTTCTGGATTTTTTATTATTAATAAATCCAAACATCACTAGCACAAAATAAAGATAACTAAAATCAACTCTTTCTCTTTAGCTTTCCACTATTTTGTGTCTTACCTTTTGTATTAGCATGAAAGTAAAATAATAATTATGTCCTACAGTCAACAAGAAAGTATATATATTGTAACCTGTAACCTTTATTATAACATAATATAAAAGGTAGTAATAATATTATATACAATTGTTTGATATCTACTTGTCATAGGAAAAAATATTGCTATATTTCAAATATAGCAACCAGTATTTGAATTGGATATAAACACAGATGTAATCCAACTATTGACACATTTCAATATGCTTTTAAGTATCATGAACTTCACCATACTGCTTCTTAAAAGACACAGCACTATAAACAAAGGAATTACATACACCAGTTTAAATTAATGTGTCATTACACATAATTTATGAAGCAGCAGCTTTGTAAAGAAATGCTTCTGGAGTTATTTTACAATAAACAATTGCATCTGTTTTTCTAACATCAAACCTCTAAACATTTGCATCTACATTCAGATTTGCACATGCAAATAGTCCAAATGGCCTCAAAAGGGCTATTCAAATGACAATTTTTCAGGACTGAGACATAAAATACAGTTTGTAATTGGTGGTCATGCAGAAGCGTGTTTTAGTAGGAAAAAAAAAACCAACCCAACAAACCAAAAACCCAACTGAGAAATCAACAAGCTTTCAGCCCTTCTATTCCTAGTTAATTTTTATTAGGACTAAGACTGTCTTATACAAAGCTGAATATTTAAGAGGGAGATGATAGTCTGACTTCATTCCACTGTCACAGGACATGAAGTATGTAATGAAGTATCATTTGTGGAAAAGAGGAAAACTTTACTTACTCCCACATTATTGTATGGGAGTAATACTACCATACTACTCTATTGTACTAATTGCAATTTCTGTGTCTTGTTAAATTTTGGAATACATTAAGTTGGAATACTCTAGCTTAAGTGGAATTTACTTAACATTTTCTTTATTTGTACATTACAATTACATTTAAGTTAAAACAGAATCCAAGTGACTACTTACAATTAGCATTTGTCACAGGTTTTTTATCACTCCTGTCTGTTAGACTTCATTTTTAATCAATGAAAAGGATGTGATATTTTTAACAGTACCTGAATTAGGCAGTTCTAAAACTAGCAGTCATTTCAAATGACACAAAGTATGCATAGTAGTAATTAGTTGGCCATACAGTTTATAACTGATTTGGGTGGATGTCTTCACAGACTGATTCAGAGAGATGTTATTGTAAAGTTTTTATGCATGTAAAAAAAATGAAAAAAAAAAAAAAAACCTTTATGATGCTAATAAATAGTCTAACTTCTAAGACCATGCACAAGATTTCATAAACATTTGAACTAGTTTAGGAAACATTTCGAAAACTGTGTACTGTGCTACAGATTCTAGATGTGACAGCTGACAACATAAATTTTCTGGATGATGATGGAGTCAATGTTAGTGCAGCTGTAGCAACACTAAGACATGCAAAGGCTTAAAGTTTAGTTTCAACTGCTTGAGTACATTTTTCATAAGATTCAAGGATTGCCAATGATTTATGCTCACTACATAAATTCTAAATTGCCAGTAAAAATAGGAAATAAAATTTGAACCCCTTAAAATTATTTTTGGAAGTATTTTTCAACTGCACACATAAGAACTTAGGGCAAGGCACTAAATTATCCATTTCCTGCAAATAAATAAAACTTTAAACAATAATAGTGCTTTAGAAAGGAAACAATATCCATATTGAAATTAATATAAATACAATTTATGCATATTAATATTTTTATTGCCTAAGTAATTAAATCAAAATATTTAGCCTACAAAATTTTTATTAGAAGCCAAAATGTGTAGTCCTGGGAAGCCTGCTTGAGCAAAGACTGAAGGTTTTGGCCATGGTTCTTTAAAAGTAGCCAATCTCTAAGAGGGTGATTAAAAACAAAACACTGATTCTCACTGCACAGAATACAAATCCTTGTCCATATAGTCCACAGCTTTATCTACCTTGCAGCACAAAGCCTAATAATACATTTTTTATATCTATTGTTATTTACATAAATTACAAGGGGCTAATCCTTGATCCATAGAAACATTTTATTTCTCATTAAGTACTATTTTGCCTCATCAAAATCTCCGTGAGGGATTTTTTTAAAGTGCATTCAAAGTCCAAACAGATTGTGTTAACCAGTTCTCTTTTATCTTCTAACTTGAAACATGCTCAAAACTCTTTCAAATATTTTCATATACTTAAATCCATGTTCAGTGGATGGTTTAGATAGTCAGAATTATTACCTTAGTTACTTGTTTTGTTAAGACATAAGGCTCCATGTTCTTCAGTTTAGATCTTCGTCAGATTTTTAGCATATTAGCTACTTCATTTTTGAGTTATGTTAGATCCCCCTGATATACCTGCGACAAATACCAGCAAGACCTCTCCTAAAATTTTTGATTCATTGAAGTGTAATGTTAATCCTGCATCTTATCTCCTCATGCCTCAAGCTCTAATTTTCACTAGACAAATTAGTTCCCAAGCTAATAATCATGCGATGACGATAGCTACACATAAATATAAACGTAGTTTCTCTTCAATATACTTATCCTCTCTAATTGGATTCTTTACTTGGTTATAATCCCACAAATCAAATGATTCTGTTAATGGTTTCCGACTTCTGAATGATTCACTTTTCTTACAACTGTAAGCCTAAGGAAGAAAGCTATAGCTGGAGTGAACTTATATCACTTTCATTCGTGACTTCAAATCTGTTCACTGTGTAGCGTATCTGGTATTACGCAGTCCGCTGTTGAAGCATTGTGTAACGTACTGCACATGGCACAACAGACTTGATAAAATTATCCTGCATGTACTCTGTGAAGTTTGCTAGGGTGCGCATGCTGAAGTGAAATTACAGATCTTTGTTCTGGGTCCATAAACCACTTTTAAAACATAATCTGATTGTATTTTCTTTGAGTTTTTATAATTTTTTATCACCTCATCCCATTTTTTTTCACCTCTGTGCTACTGTTTTTTCTGTTTGCTTTATTACCTGGTTCTTGATAGCTCTCTCTTTGTATGTCCTTGTGTTGTTTTCTTTCTTTTTCTTACTAATTATTAAAATATTATTTTGTTTGTGTGTGTGCTCTGCTTCTGTTTGACCATTTTCTGCCTCCTACTTCTTCTCCGTACATGCCTTCTCATCCTGCTGCTTTATCATTTTTTTCTGCCGTGTGCAAAAAAATCACCTGCCACAGAGTTCATCAGATTACAGACAACAAATATATGGGAATGTTGTAGAATGCCATCATGGAAAAAGTGATTTCTGTCACATCAGTGTTTAAAAGTGCCACAACAACTGTCACTGGCATGTTACAAATGCCTTAGATATACAATCTGTGGGAAAAAGAAAAACCAGAAGGTTGCCACTTCCCTAAACATGTGAAAACTAGTGGACAGACGGTAAGGTGACATAGGAAGCTCCAACATTAATCTAAAGTACACCACAGGGATTTCTTTTTCACCTGTGGTTTACATGTTCTGAACCAGTTGTAAAGTCCATTTGTTGACACCCATAGTTATGTTCTCAGCTCAGAAGATAGTATCAGAAAAATGTGGCAAACAGTGGGGACAGAGACCTTCTAAACAACAAACCTCTTAGAAGATGGTCAGGAAGACAAGCCTTGACTCTGCCTGACAGATTAGAAGCTAGTTAAAGTATTTAAACTCTGGTACAAGTTACTGTTTCTTAATACAATGAAACTCCTTACTTTTTGATTCAGTCATTTTCCATACAAAACTTATAACCAGGCCAGGGAAAAAGGACCCAAGCATTTGTGAACTATCCTTACATGCGTGTTAAAATCCTTGGGTTGGACAAGATGACCTCCAGAGGGCCCTCTCAACCTAAACCATTCTGTTACTCTATGATCCTCTGAGACGGAGGTGTAACTACAAGTCAGACCTCTCTCTCACAGGAAATGCTCAAACTACCACATTATTGTGCAGAAAGTGAGCAGTAGGATTACCTATTTCTGAAGGAATGGGAGATCCCAGTATTCCTAGATTTTGCTTCTGAGGTTATCTACCACTACCTATTTTCAAGTCCAGGTATTTCCTGAGCATGATGTAGTATGCATTACTAGCAATCCTCAAGGAATCCCACTGTTGAGTTTCTCTTAGAAACTATGTGAGCCTTTTTGAATTCACAAGGAACTTCACAAATAATCTTAGATAAGTAGCTCTGTGTAATGTAAAAGAAAAGACATGAAATGAATATTCAAGAGTGAGTAACATTCAGGATCATTTCAAGTTTAAAAAAAGGTACTCTAGAGAAAGATGAATACTGGACAATTCCAGTTTCATGCACTAGAGGCTCCAAACATTTCAACACCTGAAGTTTTCAGAATAACTTATATCAAGAATATTTTTTTTCTTAGTAGTAAATTTATACCTTGATTTTATGGTGTATGAAGTGATATTTTATCAATAATATAATAAAATAAAAGCGTGCAGGGTATTTTTCTAAGGTGCAGACAATAGTGTTATGAATTCTCAGCAGCACAAAATAGATTTTATTCTGTCATCAGTGATGACAAAAATAAGTAACAATAAATTTGTGTAATAAACTGGGTATGTTTATACACACAGCTTATTCATTTAAATTTCTAGAAAAAGCTAGTCACTATTAGTAGTTACCAAACACACAGAAAAATTACTAAATATATGGAACTGTAAAAAAAAAACAACAAAATACCCTAAAAGCAAAACAAAAATCACAATAAAGACTATTATTTCAATACATCTAAAATGTAAAAATTTGGTATTATTACTTTCCTACTGTACAAATGCCTCCTGTAACAGCAACTCCACCAACTCTGTATTACTTAAGAATCTTTATACTTACCCACGCACTGGAATATTCATATTCCTTGCAGATTTAGCAACATCTTCAAATTTTTCTATGCTTTCTTCAATTGAACAATTAATATTCATTTTGCTAAATGTTTCAGATGCTGCACCAAATACTGAGACTTCTGTGGCCCCCGCTGCAATCTGAAAAATACATTTCAATAAAATTGAATCATAACATTACATTAAAAGATTTTGTTAAGCACTTAATTCTGTAAGACATTCTAGAATTTTAAGTACATTATAAGTACATAATCCATACTTAAAACATACATTTAATTCCAGTTTTTTTTTAAATCTATTGCATAAAACCAGATTGAATTAAATTTTGAGTTCATTCACTATGATACATTTCCTTCCTTTTCTTTGCAACTAGGAAAACATATTTTTAAGGTGATAAATGATTAAGGTATTACAAAAGGAAATCACATGAACCAACTATAAAAATAACAATGATTGATACTTGTATTAATTTTTCAGAAAAGGAAAAGATCATATAACAATTCTGAAATACTTATCCTCTGTACAAAGCCCGTTCCTTATGAATGCCAGGAAGTCATTCTCATGCTTAGGAAAGCTCTGTGCCTGCATGTACCTAGAGCAGCGACAATAACCAACAGGGATTGCCTTGTTAGAGCCAGCTCTAGGATCAAGGCCTCCATTGGTCTTGGTGTCACAGTCAATACGAATCATACGGGAAATGTGTCTGTGAGAGTCTGCTGAGAAAAATTCTCAGAGCAAATACCAGTCTAGAAAATGTGTAAATGTGGTGACTTCACTGAAGAGGCAATTAAGCTGAGCTTGTACTCAGTACCTCCATACTCAGTAAAATCAGCTAATAACATGAGGCAAACTGGAATGCTGAAAGCCAAATGATAGAAGAACCAAACATTTAACCTTAGGAGAATAGCCAATTCATTAATTCTCATTCTCTAGTGAGAATATTCTTGTTCTATGAAAAGGAATGGAGCTTTTCCTTGTATTCTCTGCTTCTGCAGGGTAATGTCCAAGCTTCAGCAATACTTACAGAAACAAATACCCTTTCAAATAGAAATTAAAAAAAAACAAACAGCAGCAAGAAAGAACTCGGCAATCACCTACAACTATGTTTGCCTTGTTTTCCTTTCATCATATCACTAAATACGGTATAGAGATACGGCAGATTTAATCAACTCATACAAGCTACTATTGCAAAGTTGTGGCACTATCAATCTGTATATTGATAGCTAACTTGCCTATGTACAGAATTTTAAGAAAGATTTCATACGTAGTACAGGAACTGAATGATTGATAGACTATACCACAGATGTCTATCAAGCAGTATGCTTTCCAAACATGGCTTGTCCTATATCAAGACAAAAGCATAGAAGCATGAAAAATTTTCATAAAACAAAAAAGTGTAAAGATGTGACTAGCAATGTGTGTGTATGTATGTTTTAAGAAGACTGAACTGCTCCATTTTTGCAATTCCAAACATTTTGAGTCTATAATTTTGAATAGTTATTGAACTATTGAATAAATATAATGAACTGAAAAAATTTAAACTTTCAATCCCTACAAAACTGAAGAAATCTAATACATTCCTATAAAATATTTTCATATAAGTGACTCCTTCCTCCTTCTTCACTACTTTCCAATAAAAGACATTCTTCCGAAACATTTCCAACAAATCAAAGAAGGAGAAGGAACTGTCTTTCACTTTATACACAAGCATCATTTATAGGAACTTGAAAAGACAGATCAATACTTCCATTAAAATATAAACATACAGAACATCATGATTTTGCCCATTTTTCACAATGAAAACAGAGTTTTTCATTTAAAAAGCTATAGTTTAGTTCTAACAGGACAGGTTACATGACATTAAATAACTAACATGCTTCAGAACAGAAAGTATCTGAAACATGAAAGATGCAGTTGTGGACATTCATGAAGGCACTTACAGCAGCATGAAAACCATGAAGATTAGGCGTAAGAACAGGATACTGGACTCCAGGATGCCGTTCAATGCCCCTCATTACTTCTTTATGATCTGCCATCTGAAATATACAAACAATTTTTATTGATCAGGAGTTATTTTCTGATTTTACACAGATAAGCAGAAATTGGCTTAGACTATGCTTTTGCTTTCATTAGGTATACAGTTCTAACAAAAAGTATAGCAGTGAAGGGGTTAAATGGATGTTTTACAACCATTATTTTTTTTATTTCTTAACCTTTGAGTCAATACTCAAAAGATTAAGTTGCAAGCTTTTCAGTTCTATATGAATACAGAACTGGGGTTAAGATTTCAAAAGTGGGTTTGTTTACATGTATCTGTAAAAACATCATTTGCACCATAAATTGACAGACTTGCAATCATGCTGATCATCAACTGTTATTGAAAATTTAAACTTAATTTAACTGACTCAATAGCTGGAATTAACAGAATAACTGACATTTTAAAACTATCTAAATCTTGAAAATGTCAGCACTCTGATAAATGAGACCTCACAATCTTTAAGCATAAGTGAACCTGAATTACTCAATACTCTAATCAGCATATTTGAAAAGACTAATCACAAGTTTATCCTTAAAAATATGGCAAAATCCAGTTCTCTGTGTCATGTAACATTTTAATATACTCAGATTATTTTTTTTTCAAAAGAAGACCATTTCTTTATTCAAGCATTTGTTTTCTTCAGTCTCCCCTCACAAAAGAAACTTTGCCTTTTTAAAATATTTCTCCACTTTTCTCACTCAAGATTAAATATACTTCATATACTAATCAAGAAAAGGGATCAAAGTCTTATTCATGTCATAAACTATAGATTATTTAGACAAGCATATTTTCTTGAAAGAAGTGGAGGAAAAGTTAGTATTATTTTAATAGTGGCAATGCCTAGAAACAATACAGTGGATAAAACATATCCCTCTTATTTCATGTTTTACAGATTTTGAGTTTAAAAAAAATAATAGTGTATTTTAAAAGCTTTTTAGATCAGCTCTCACAAAAGCAAATCTTCTAAGCAAACAGTATTAAATTGGATTTCTGATTCTATCCACACTGATGAAAAGTCATTTAAGGGGTACCGTATGAAAAGATATATGAACTACAAAGCTTTTGTTACTCCTTACTCTCAATTGATATTTTATTGATAACTCTGCAGTACCCCAATTCTAAATATGCATTGTTAAATTATACTAGATTATTAAGTGACAATACTACTGGCAACCTGAATTCTTCCTGTCACTGGTTTCCTACTACAAAAATGAATAGATTAAAAATATCAGAAAAATGCATGTATGTCTCCTTAAATGTAAACTCAACATGTATCTTTAATGAAGCAGGTGTGTGGTATGAAAAGTGCCTTACAGCCAGACACAACTCATTTCTCATCAGGAAACAAGTGATGGCACAAATCAACTTTTTGTAATTGCTTCTACATAAACTAAATCAGTATGACCACCTAATACATCTGATAGCCTCACAAAAAACATTGGTAAATACCTTAGTTTTTTATGAATATTTTTTCATTCCTTAATTTAATGAAAATAATGTCTACATTTCTCAGGGCAAGGAACAATGCTTGAAACCAAATGATTAATTAAATGGTAAATGCTGGAACTAATTCCACACTTTGAAATTATAGCCTGACTTAAAATACATTAAAAACCAAAAAATGACACTTTTTTAACCAGTATAAAGCTGCCACAGTATAAAGCTGCCAAATACGAATAACGTTATACGTATTACATTTGTCCCGCTACTATTTTTCCTGTAAGTAAAATCCCATTTTAACACATATTGCATGTTATAAGGTTTCAAATTGTAATAAAATATTTTATTTTCCAAATTTCTTTAAAAATAAGCTTTCTAATAGTAGGTATTTATAATTTTTGGCCATTTAGGTTATAGGTGTGGGATCCTGTTTTATATGGCACCTCGCTACTGTAGAACTTTTTCTTTTTAGCTTTTTTCAGTAAAAAAATCTGTGCCAAGAAAAACAGTGGATGGGAAATCATAAAACAGCTTTAAAATACTAAAAAAAGAACTAAGTGAATGAATGATCTAAACATAACCATGAATTCTATTCCCATGACCTATGAAAAGAAAAAAGGAGCAAAGTCGAGACTGCATTCCCTATCAAAGCAACACAATCTTATCTTTTAAATAAAAAACATTTTTAAAAAACATTTAAATAAAAAACACAAATTAAGCCATTAAGATAAAGTATTCAGACACGAATTTAAGATAAGAAAAGATTGTTCATTTTTTTCCAAGACTGACAAACCTCTGCTAAATTTGGTACTCCTAATGGCTCACAGGAAAAGGAAATAATTAAACTAGAAAGGAAGAAATCCACCTTTGCTTTAGCCTTTTTCTTCTAACATTTAAAAACCTACATTATTCTCTGCTGCTGTAACTGCCAAAGTTTGATGGCACTTGGAAAAACTTAGCCTAGTCACTTTTAAAGGACACAATATCATTGCCCCTCCATCAACACCAAAGGAATTCTGCATTGCTGCTCTTCACTTTTCCTATCATCCTTTCTTTAGACCCTTCCTTAGTGATCCCAAGAACACTGAAATAAATCAAAGGAGTCCTTCAGAGTGCTGAACAGTTTGCTCTGCTAATTCATGAATAAGTATGATTTTACTGTTTTCCTGAGAGGAATACAGGCCAGGCTGAGGACGTATTCTCAGTTTAAAATAGACAAACTTTATATATATTTGGACAAAAGATCTGCAATAAACAATGTTAAAGTATTTTCTCAAATTAATTTCATGTTTTATTATATAAATAACTTGCACAGTCCTTACTAAACATATAAGTACTTAAATGTTTCTGTGCAAACATGTAATTTCTTGAAAATTAGTTTAAATTATATAGACAAGCACTGACTTATTTTCTTACTTGCAGGGAATAATTAAGTTTGTTAAATCTCAAAAGAAAATCTGCCACCCCTAGTGCCAATGGAGTTTTGCTGCTGACTTCAGAAAGGTTAGGATTTCTGCTGAATTGTACCATGTGTAAAAATTAACTTTGGAAAAATAATGAAAAAATTATCATGATTCATCAAAACTCAGTACGGCTGGCTGAGAGAGCATTAGATCTGCAAAATAATTAACGTGACTAACTACTGCTACATATACGAAAGTCCCAGATTTAGATCTTCCAAACACACTTTTAAATATGGAAAATGAAATTTCATTTAGGGAAAAAGAACAACAAAAAAAAAAAGGGTTTTTAACCTTTCTTGTTTACATCAATGACTATTTGTCCTTGGAAGAGTAGAAAAGAGGTAGGAACAACATTAAGTTATATTAATGATACATCATCATTCAAACTCCTTAGTTATAACTGAATGTTTACAGAGATAAACAGCAAAAAAAAAATGCACAAGTACTTTATTTGCTTCCATTCCACAGTTCAAAATTATCAGTGATTGTATTTTCTCTGTATTATTAATTGCAAAAAGTCATTGCCCTGTTATGAGCAAACTCAAAAAGGAGGACCACATGGTGGATAGATACACAGAAATGTACCAAGTGCAACAGACATTCAAAAATAGGTGTTTGGCTTCAGGGCAGACTCAAGCTTCCACAGTAGTCCACACAACTCCACAGGCCTGTGGAGTCTGCTCTCTTGGTTTGGTGCTAGGGAGCACTCGCGGAAAGTTTATGCAGTTTGCACAAGCATCTAGGTTTTCCTGCTCTGGATCTCTGAACTGGTGTTGCTTCCACAAGAAGTCCCCTCCACCATGACTATTTCCCAGAGATAAGACTCAATGCCCTTCATCTGGATACTCAAACTCAGTACTCTGCATCCCAACTGCTTCATATTTTCAAATCTTTATCCCTATAACTACAATCAGTATCTTCTATCCCAGTTGCCCTTTACTCACAATTTTGATCTGTCATCCCCACACCTCTTAACCCCTTTCAGCATCCTGTGGCCAATTCTCTCACTCCCCATTTACTACTGTCCCTTGCACATATTCACACATACGTTAACGTGTACGTTATTGACTGGATTGTGACTATGTCTACCAGACTTGACTTCCCAGCTTAAACTGGGACCTGCTGCAACACTGCGAACTCACCTGAGTGTGTGTACTCTTGGCTGCCCTGGTTACCCTCACCAGATTTGCACTGCTCTCACAGACTGCTGGATTGCCCTCTAGTCAACAAGGCTACAGTCTTGGCTCCCTTATTACTGCGCTTGGCTTTTCCCCTTCCCTTATGGAGCAACTTGCTCTTGCTGCTGCTAAATTAGGGATTTAAGCAGCTTTCTGCACAGCTTACTGGCTCTTCTTCAATTTTGACTGCTTTTTAATAATTATCCCAACTTCAGCCAACCTAAATAAAAGCATAAAACTTGAAAGCTGCCTAAATTGTGTTGGACAACGGTATCTGATTCTTGTACAATTATACAGGCTATGCACTACTGGAAAACTCCACTGCATGTAATGACATTTAAACATAAATTGAAATAGTTCTGAATGGTGATGATTTTACATACCTGAGGCACCCATTTGGATGAAACAAAACTGGTCACTTCTATTGCAGGAAGGCCTGTTTTGGAAAGCCGGTTGATTAACTCGATTTTGATATCAGTTGGGACTATCACCTACGGACACGGAGACAGACTATAGTACAGTATTTCATTCAGTAAGAGACTTTTGTAAATGAAATGTTCTCAGTACATAAACAATCGTGTTTTTTAAAATAATGAACTATACTCATGTATTATACCATAACTGTAGTGTTTCCTGATAGTAGGAAGCTACTGCATAAGGAAAGCATCAGGCAGTATACATGATCCTACTCCCTTTTTTGTCCACCACAAAAGAATGAGGAAGCACTTTTATAACCACTGTAACAGGTTATAGATCTGGCCTCACTAATTCTTAGTAACCAAACACCAATCTATCAAAGAAGCAACAAAGGAAATAGTAACACAGAATAGTCCAACCAGAGAGAAATGGAGAGAAAAAAGCTCCAGAGCTGAGACAGAGTAATTCCATTCTCTTAATGCTACTAACATCTTTGGTATCAGCACACCAATATATGCAAAACTATTCACCTATCCTCCTGTTTGTGGAAACAGATGACTGTTTTGATACATGTACCCTATTTTAAAGTCTCTTTTAATCTTCTTCCATGCTTCCCAACCAAACTTCAGGCAAATAATATCAAAACCAAAAGAGCAATTTCTTTTTCTCCATGCCTGTTCAGGAGGAAGCATGACAAAACCTATTGTACTATTTCTACTATAGTAGCACTTCCAGCATGAAAGAAGTAAAGATGAAGAAGAAAGCTTGAACTACTATGAAGATAGCCAGTGTTTCATTGCATTACCAATCATGTCATGACACGTTATTGACTGACGAGATAAATTCCAGAATAAGATACGGCAGTTGAGAAACAGGCTAGTTAACCAAGTATAGAAAGAAATTATACTATTTAACACCTGCCTACATAGTAATATACTTTTATTCTAATAAACAAAACAGTTATTAATATAAAAGAAATAAATATATAGTACATAATAGAAAAAACATGATTAGCAGCATGTACGTTTTACACAATGAAAATAACACTGATATCCATATCACAACACACTCACACAAAAAACAACAAACAAAACAAAAAAAAAAATCAGATGAAAATTACCTTTTCGTTTTGTAATCCATCCCTTGGCCCAACTTCTACAATCTTTATGTAGGCAGGCAGTCCAGATGCTTGAGATTCCTGAAAGAAAAATCAATACTGAAACACAAAACAATGAAGGTCACCAAGATCAAAGGTATACCTTGTACCTGTCTTCTCATATGATTCTGGGTATAAAGTCATATCATTAAGTTTGCTCATGGCCTTTAAAAATCTCTGAGAACATGTTCTGCACCTTGAGTTACGGAATAGAAGTTAAAAGCCAAAGTTATCCACATGCATGTTCCAGTGCTCCTCTGAAGCCACAAATGTTTATTGTAACAATGTATATAGAATCATAAACGAACACTGCGTTTTACAGAGTGAGAAATATTCCCATTTCAAAAACCTTATCAATGAACAACTCAGTCCTCCAAACTTCTACCTGAACGTTCTCAATTTAAGTGAACAGTTACTTGCCTGTAAACATTTGCAAGACTAGGCTATAAATCCAAAAATAACAGAGCAGTCAAGAAATATTGAAGAGATTATTAATGAAAGATGAAAGTAAATCCTCTGCCTGAGGATGACGGTTTTAAAGAAGGATTTAAAGAACAAGGAAGGCCCCTGGACAAGAAGAAGACTTTCCCAGGTGTAAAAAAGCAGGAAGCTGGAAGTGACAGGAGGGAAGGAAGGCAGCAGTAAGGTCAAAGGGCTAAGGAGCACAGGGAGTTGGAGGGGGAGGAAGGAGAAACAAGCAGAAAAGCAGGTGAAGGGAAATGAAACTTCAGTTTTTATTATTTAGCTGCTCTGTTAATGAATTAAGTTGACAGGTGTGGCAGTTATGTAACCTGGTCCTTTAAGTCCTGATACATTTGAGAGTAGTTGCTTAGACTGACACCCAGAAGCTTCACGTCTTAAAAAACACATCAAATAGCCAGTTGGGGCAAGTTGCCTGTGCCCACAGAAGGAGACAGGTCTCCATTCCAGTGTTGATAGCCCATGCTGGGATTAGTTTAGCTACCTATGGGATGACTGCTCCCACTGCACCCACCAGTTCCCCTGAGAGTTAAACACCACTGGAAGAATGACAGTCAGCCCAGGGGACGGTTCCAGCCTGCAGAGTCACAGCTTGCCCAGAGATCAGAAGTCACTTTTTGCAGTGCATAAATATGGTGACTAATCTCACATAATCCACAAAAAATGAAAAACCTGTGTTTCATCCCTCCCCAGCTAGCATCATCAAAGTTCTTTCAACCAAATTGCTCCTGATTTTTCCTCACAGTAACAGAAAATGAGCCTTCCTGCAGCACCGCTGGTTTCTCCCTGCATTACTGGTGCCTATAGATAAAAGTATGTTCTCTGCAGCACTAGCCAAAATACAGTAAACATATTCCGGAGCATTTACTTTGTATTTATCTGAGCCCAGTAAAAAGAATGGGAAACAGCTGTATAGCATCTATTTGATCACATGGAACATCTGGTAAGTTAAAACTGTCAGGCTGTACTAAGCCCACACTCGCTGACAGTATAAACCTACTTAAATGCGAAGGTAAAACCTTCACATCTGCTGCATATTGTTTCTCCTAAGTTATTTTCACAAATATGGCACTGCTTCAGCACTATGGGCATAAATCTGGGTTATCTCATGATTATCAGATCCTCCTTGTTACAAGACAAATGTCCCAGCTGCACTATGAGTAAAACTGTGACTGGGGGCGGGGGGGGGTGGGGGGTGGGGGGAGTGGTGGTAAGGAAGGAGGTAAAATAGATTATGTGAACCAAAGCTTAATTTAGAGCATGAAAAATGTATATAACCCTTTGGTGGCAAAAATATTCAATTTCTAGGCCAAATCCTGTAAATCCTATTCAGTTCTTGCTGTGGCAAAACTTCTGTAATCAAAGACCTGTACCTGTCTTTACAGAAGACAGCTCACACAGCTACAGCACATTCACCCTGACATTCACAGTACCACAGTATGCTAGAGATTGGAAGGGACCTCAAAAGATCATCTAGTCCAATCCGCCTGCCGGAGCAGGAACACCTAGATTATGTTACACAGGAATGTGTCCAGGCGGGTTTTGAATGTCTGCAGGGAAGGAGACTCCACAACCTCCCTGGGCAGCCTGTTCCAGTGTTCCGTCACCCTCACTGAGAAGAAGTTTCTTCTCAAGTTTAAGTGGAACCTCTTGTGTTCCAGTTTGTACCCATTACCCCTTGTCCTGTCATTGTTTGCCACTGAGTAGAGCCTGGCTCCATCCTCGTGACACTCCCCCTTTATATATTTATAGACACTAATAAGGTCACCCCTCAGTCTCCTCTTCTCCAAACTATAGAGACCCAGCTCCCTCAGTCTTTCCTCATAAGGGAGATGCTCCACTCCCTTAATCATCTTCGTTGCCCTGCGCTGGACTCTCTCCAGCAGGTCCCTGTCCTTCTTGAACTGAGGGGCCCAGAACTGGACACAATATTCCAGATGGGGTCTCACCAGGGCAGAGGAGAGGGGAAGGAGGACCTCTCTCGACCTACTAACCACCGCCCTTCTAATACACCCCAGGATGCCATAGGCCTTCTTAGCCACAAGGGCACAGTGTTGGCTCATGGTCATCCTGTCGTCCACTAGGACCCCCAGGTCCCTCTCCCCTACACTGCTCTCTAACAGGTCGTTCCCCAACCTATACTGGAACCTGGGGTTGTTCCTGCCCAGATGCAGGACTCTACACTTTCCCTTGTTATATTTCATCCAGTTATTCCCTGCCCAACTCTCCAGCCTGTCCAGGTCTCGCTGGATGGCAGCACAGCCTTCTGGCGTGTCAGCCACTCCTCCCAGCTTAGTGTCATCAGCAAACTTTCTGATAGTACACTCAATTCCCTCATCTAAATCACTGATGAATATATTAAATAATACTGGTCCCAGTACTGACCCTTGAGGCACTCCACTAGTTACAGGCCTCCAACTAGACTCCGCCCCATAGACTACAACTCTCTGGCTTCTCTCCTTCAGCCAGTTCGCAGTCCACCTCACTACCTGATCATCCAGTCCACACTTCCTCAATTTAGCCATGAGGATGCTGTGGGAGACTGTGTCAAATGCTTTGCTGAAGTCAAGGTAGACCACATCCACCGCTCTGCCGTCATCCATCCACCGTGTTATTTCCTCATAAAAGGCTAAGAGATTGGTCAAACATGATTTCCCCCTGGTGAAGCCATGTTGACTGCCCCTCATAACCCTCTTATCCTTGATATGCCTTAAGATGGCACCAAGGACAAGGTGTTCCATCACTTTCCCAGGGATGGAGGTGAGGCTGACCGGTCTATTGTTACCCGGGTCCTCCTTCTTGCCCCTTTTGAAGACTGGAGTGGCATTTGCTTTCCTCCAGTCCTCAGGCACCTCTCCCGTCTCCCAAGACTTGGTAAAGATGATGGAGAGTGGTCTAGCAATGACTTCCGCCAGTTCCCTCAGCACCCGCAGGTGCATCCCATCTGGACCCATGGATTTATGGATGTCCAGATTGCTCAACTGATCTCTAACCCATTCCTCATCGACTAAGGCAAGTCGCTCCGTCGACCTGACTTCATCTAAGGTCTCAGGGGTACAGAGCTCTTCAGGACTGCCTGCAGCAGAGTAGACAGAGACAAAGAAGGCATTCAGTAACTCTGCCATCTCTGCATCTTCTGTCACCAGGGCACCCATCCCATTCATCAGTGGGCCTACATTGCCTCTGGTGTTAAGTTTTGTCTGCCATATATTTGAAAAAGCTCTTTTTGCTGTCCTTGACCCTTCTTGCCAGGTTTAATTCTAAGGAGGCCTTAGTCATCCTAGCTGCCTTCCTACATCCTCTAGCAGCAGCCTTATATTCCTCCCAAGTGGCCAGCCCCTCCTTCCATGACCTGTAAACTCTCCTCTTCCACTTGAGCATACCCAGCAATTCCCTATTTAGCCATGCAGGTCTCTTGGCCCTCTTCCTTGACTTCCTACGTGTCAGGATGCTCCGATCTTGAGCACGGAAAAAGCAGTCCTTGAATATCAACCAACTATCTTGGGCCCCTTTACCTTCAAGCAGCCTTGCCCATGGGATTTCCCCTAGCAATTGCTTGAAAAGGCCAAAGTTTGCCCTGCTAAAGTCCAGGGTTGCAATTCTACTTGCTATTCTACTGGTCCTACCACACAAGATCCTGAACTCCACCATCTCGTGGTCGCTGCAACCAAGGCAGCCCTCAACCCTTACTGCTTCAACCAGATCCTCCTTGTTAGTGAGGATGAGATCCAGCAGCGCTCCTCTCCTGGTCGGCTCATCCACCATTTGCAGGAGGAAGTTATCATCCATACACTGGAGGAACGTCCTGGACTGCGGCTGGGTTGCCGAGTGGTCCTTCCAGCAAACATCAGGGAAGTTAAAATCCCCCACGACGACCACGGCCTGTGACTGTGAGGCCGCTCTCAGCTGCCTGTAGAAGGCCTCGTCAACTTCCTCACCCTGATCCGGTGGTCTGTAACAGACACCTACAACAGTATCCCCCCTGCCAGCCTGCCCCTTAATTCTCAGGGGGTGTTTGCAGCCCTTGGATTTCACAGGGGACAAGAAGTTTGGAAGGGACATTGCAGAATGGCATTCACGTATCCATTCTTATTCTCCATCTGTGATATAACAGGCCTACAATGTCTTTGAGCCATAGTCCAGGCCTCTCACCTCCTCATTTTCTCTATAGTCTTCCTGTCCACTAAGCAGCCCCAACTTGAATTCACTGTTCTTGAAAACAACACTGATAACCATGGAGAGGATGGCTCTCACAAGGGCCACACAGTGGAAAATCAAGGCAGTACTACAGACAAATCCTTACATTCTTCAAGATGATGAACTAACAGTATAAACATCTTGCTTGGACTCTAGCTCTAAGTCTAGAATAGTCCTGCTTTGCATTGAATTTCATCTAGTTTCACCTAGAGCACATTGATTGCTCTGTTCTGATCATTCTCCCCACCATAACTAATAATTTCTCTTGTGCTGCATTGATGAACCCCAGATAACAAGAGAGGCAGAATACCTAGGTTCAGGCCCCTATGTATTATTCATGCATGTATTATCACTGGATAAAACTC